GTAAGCACCTGAGTTGCTTTCAGCGAGATGCACATGGCCGCATACATGTGTCCTGGGCGCTTGATGGCACGTCCAGGGCAGCCGGCCTTCAGGGTGTTTCTCAGCCTGCACGTAAGATGCTTCTTCTTAATGCAATGATGCGGGAGGTAGTCTTTCCTCCGCAGGTCGAGTTTTTTTTTTAATATATATGAGCAAATATAACAGGTTCAGAGGCTGTGAGGTCTCCATTAAGCTTGTTGAAACAAATAAAAGTGTTTGTTATGATTTTCTGTGCTTGATTCTTAAATTGATTTTGGAGATATCAACTACTGAAAAGAATATTCTATGCAATTAGTCCATCTACCTAGGAATAAGTTGAGAAATAGTATAAGTGATAAGTTATTGAATGACTGTTTAGTCACATTTATTGAACAAGATGTTTTCACCAAGGATTTGAATTGTACTATTCGAAAATATTGCTGTTTACTGAATTGTGGTTTGCTGGTTCTAATAAAATTTATATCTGCATACTAAATGCTTGGCAAATTATAGTTGCACACCGAAGTCAAAGTTGGATTATTATTGTCTAGATACACCCTGCTTCCCTGCTTAGAAATCCTAGCCCGCCACCTAATGACCAACATGCAAGAGAAACAGATTTGCTATGTCAACGGTACAAAAATATATTGTATGTGTATGTTTGTCACATTTCAACTTTGAACCCTATTTTGCTTTTGTATACTGTTCTCCTGAATTTTCTTATGTATACTGGCTACTTCTTGCATGGAACGTTATAGATTGGAGTGACCAAGTGTTGTACCTTATATTCAACAGGTTGCCCTTCAATGGAGACTTCCAAAGAACAGGCTTCCAAGGACTATGCTGATTTCGAGGAGAAAGTTAAGAGGATTTATATATATTGACCAGCTTTCTCCTCAAGTAAAGGAATCGGCCATCAAAGCTGCTCTTGCACAGTGTGCAAATGTTGTCAGTGTGGAGTTCATCGTCAACTACACAATCCCATATGAAATCCCTTGTGCCGCATTGGTGGAATTGAATGATGATGTGCAGGCTAAGGCTGCTGTAGACTTGATGAATGATTTCCCATTCATAATTGGTGGAATGCCAAGGCCTGTAAAAGCTACACATGCCAAGCCTGAGATGTTTCATGATCGCCCTCCTTGCCCTGGCCTTAAAAAAGATTTCTGTTGGGTAAAACAAGGAGATAAGGACTATGAAGCGATGCAGAAATTGAAAAACCTTGCAAAGAGGCAGGACTCTGAGAACATGGCTCTGATAAAGGTAAATGTTTAGTTGTTTTGTGACTGCTCTGGGAAAACTGTCTTTGTGCCTGCCCTTTTTCAGTGTATGGTTGATGATGTGTTATTTGATCTTTTGTGTTGTACTCCCTCCATTCTGAATCATAAGACGCTTTGTCTTTTCTAGATTTACTATATATCTAGACTAGACATAGTGTATAGCTAAGTGCATGGCAAAAGCAATGTATATGAAAAAGCCAAAACATCTTATGATTTGGAATGGAGGGAGTACATTCAGTTAGCATAAAAATGTTGGTTTTACTGGCTGCTATGTTATTTTCATGGTTAGACCAAACATGAAACAGTGAGACCCCAAGTGCTTTCCATTTATAATCCTTTATTTTCAGAAGTGGAAAAGTTCCTTCCATGAATCTTAAATGTAATATAACAATTGGGAACTTAATATCCATTCCATAGGTGATATTAACCTTGAGTTTTAATGGCACAAAAAGATATGCTTATTTTGTTCTCATGCTATCAATTAGCTGTTTGTGGGGGCGCCTCAAAGGAAGAGGAGACTATACAAGAGTAATTGTGACTAGGTGTGGATCACTTGTTAAAAGTATGCAAATTCATATTGGATAGCAAGTGCATATGCACTATTGCACATTGCACTGCATCTATCATAGTTTACCAATACTGGTGGCCTGTCTCTTATAAATACTTCACACTCTCGTCAGATTGGTGAGTGTCCAAGTACTGTATCTGTGCTTTAACTACAATATTGATTGTTATTGTGGTGTTGATGCTGTTACTTTGATGTTTCATTGAGAATATTATATTATACATGATAATGCTTATGTGGAGTTGTTTTTATTTTTTTCTGTCCAGAAACTTTTGGAAGAGGAGAAGGAACTAGCGAATCGGCAGCAGGAGTTACTCGATGGAAACTGCAAGAAGTATGACATGCTGGAAACTCTGGTGCAAAACGGAACCATGAAGAACCTTGCTCAACGCTATGGAATAAACTTGGACGACTGACGAGTCGTTCGTGTCCTTTTTCCTAGAGCGATGGCAACTGGTGTGATGATGGAATAGTACATTGATGATACTCCAAATCACATCGTCGTGCGTTAGTTTTGGTCCGGTAGCTGGACCCTCTGGTGTAAAAACTGCCCCAAGTCCCAACTTAGTTAGCAGCTGTTGCGTTAGAAGCTGATAATAACGTTAGAAGCTGATAACGGCAGCCGTAGTGTAACCATTTTGTTTCTATGGCCCCTGACATGTGTCATGTTCGCTTGGCTTATAAGCCGTACTTTTTCAGTTAACGAACAATATTTTTCTCTCACAACAAATTAGCTAACAGTACTTTCAGCCATGGCTTATCAACCAAGCGAACATGCAATGGGAGTTGAACTGGAAGTATCAGCTGCTGTCTCGTGTGTATATATTTCCACGTCAAATCCGATTACCTTTATTTATTGTGTCCAGGCACCAAAGGTTGGTTATTTTCTTGTGTCATTTTCCTGTGAGTTTTGCAGGTTTCGTTTTTGATCGATTTTCTTCAGTCCCGGTTTAGCACGTGTCACATGTTACTGATGGATCTTATCCCGAATATGTTATTTTGTAATATACGTTCATAGCTGGAAAAAGATGCCTGCTAGAAATCGTTCGACGGTAAAACGACAACTCAAAATCGTCGTCCAGCCGGAAAACGATCTCTAGAAGTTGTCTACTGCACCGATGAAACGGTTTCAAAATTTGGGCCAACCTGAAACACGAAATATCAAAATCGTCCGCGACTTTGAACACGGGTGTCGCATTCCTATCCGCGGACCACATCTGCTCGAGCGGGTGGCGTGCGGGCGTGCGTGCGGCGGTCGCTCACCGGAGCTCGCCTGGCCGGACCGAGAAAGCGCGGGGCGGGAGGCGGAGCGCGAGGCAGGCAGATACGGCGTCGCAGGCGTCCGGGTCCGGCGGGCTGCTGCGGCGTCTTGGGCGGCGGTGCGGTGGGCTGCAGCCAGCAGGAGCGGCCGATCGAGCTGCGGGCCCGTGCGACCAGCAGGTGAAGTTTTCATATATATATTTTTTCCCAAAAAAAAAACTAGTTTAATACTTAAGCACACGGTTCTACGCTGGTTTATAGGCCCTAGTGCGTGTGTGTAGGTTATAACTTGATTTATCTTTTTTTATGTAAAGTTAGTGTTTGTACTAGTGAATACTATGCTTCAAGTTATTATTTTTAACTAGCTTAATTTTGTATGTAAAGCTATTTTTGTACTGGCGCAACCACAGCTAGCTTCATCTTTTTTTTTATTCGGAATTTGGTCCAGTAAATAAGCCTTAGGTCTATATGCTTTATAATTTGTGTTTACCATAGCTACTTGTAAGGTTGTTATGATTGGATTTTTTTTACCCTACTTTATAATGATTTGGAAAGTAAAAATTTTGTGTATGTCATAGCTGTTTGTAGGCTAGTTTTGATTTAGTTTAACATGATGAGTATGTTGATTTGACTTGGGAATGGCGAAAACAAATGGTAACTAGTGGAATGCTTACGGGCCTTTTTTGGAATTAACCTTTATTCGGTGAGGGTCCAACACTTTGCAGTGCTGGCTCATGAGCATCCGTAATACACACCTCTGTGGCTGTTAGAGCGCGTTGGTTCAACAGGAATACAACATAAGGTCTACCACATTAGGTTTGACACAAATTTTGATGCATAGCATAAATAAACCAACATGAATTATGCATTAATTTGCACATCCATATCTGTGATCTGCCATGCCATTTCTATGACCGCATCAGTTAATTGTTTAAGGACTGGGCAGTTTTGAACTGTTAACAATATTAGATAAAAATTTAAACTTATTTTTCCTAGTAAACGATATTATATTATTTCTGTAATTGAGTAGACCCAAGGTATATATCTCCCCGGTAAATTTCAATTAAAAAATATATTAGTAAAAAATCAACAGTTGGCGCATAGATAGAAACCACATGAGCCATGCATGGACTCCAACATCCAATGAACCCCTGCTCCCCTAGGGAGGATGGTATATTATTACATGTATATAAAGTAGTTTGGATTGTTAATGTAGCCTTTCTCTTGGTGACTATGCTAACAAACATGATTTTGGATGGATTCGCAGAGAAGTGACTATACAGTATAAGAGGAAAGGTCATGTTCGCTTGAACTTATCAGCCGTACCGCAGCGAAATAACAGTGTTTTTCTCCACAACAAATCAGTATCAGCATCAGTATCGGCCGTTTTTTCAGACAGCCGAACACGGCCAAAGCCTGGTGAACTACATCTATATATATGCTGGTCATATCATGTGAATTGTGATTCTGATTGAGTTGACTGACGAGATGCTGAAAGCATGAAGCCAACAACGGAGCTACTAGTATTGGATAGGAGTAGAACAAGGAAAGGAAGCCTGGTAGGAATGGTATTGGAATCGGAATCGGATGAGAGTATGAGACATGAGGAGAAGGGAGGGACGATAATGAGGATGTGGAACGAGCAAGGAAGGAACAACTGAAAGAGCATGGTTTGCTGCTGTTGCTGTACAAGAAGAAGATGAGTCTGCCATGCAAGCCAAGCCAAGGTTTTTACCTTCCTTGCTGCTGTGGAGAAGAGAGCCTCCCTATCACGTACGTATTCTCTTCCTCCCCATGGTATTAAGCCCAAGCTGTGTCCAGGTATCTGGCTTTCGTTTGCATGCACATCGATCGTGCACGCACCACGTTAAACAGCCATGGAGATGGAGAAGAGAGCCTCCCTGCCTCTGCTGCCTCTCCTCCTCTGCTTCCTACTGTCAGGTACTGCTACTTACTGTACTTTCTTCTTTTCTTTCTTGGAAAAAACAAAGTGCTCTCTCACTCTTTCATGCCTGCCGAAAGCTCAGGAATTGAATGAATGCCACCCTCTTTCTCCTTTTTTCCTTTGCCTTGGCCTTTTTCAGTTTGCAGTACTACCCCATTTGCTCCCTGTGGAAAGGAAAAGACATGTATCAGAGCTTGTCTCTGGTCATGTCTATTGCACCACATCATTTTTCTCTCATCTCTGAAACTGCCTGCACATTTGTTCGTGTATACTACCTCCTTCCAAAAATATGAGATTCTAAGTTTTAGTTGTCAAACTTTTTTGCGTTTAACTAAGTTGATAAAGAATGTTAGTAACATTTATAACTCCACATAGTTATACTATGAAAATATACTCAATAATTAATCTGGCAATACTTATTTAGTATTGTAAATGTGAGTATCTGTTTTTGTATAGATTAGGTGAAACATAACTTCTTGAAAAGCAAGAATTGCATTCACAGATTGAATATTTCGCATCACATTGGATTAAAGAAACAATGTGTGCAAACTGATTCATCGTGTTTCTTCGACTTGGTGGGGTCGATTTACCAAATTATTACTGTACTTCTCTTAATCTTATAAGTAATAATAAGATAATACAAGATAACAAGATGCCAACAATTAAATATAGACTTCTATATAGTATGCTTATGATGATGAGACAAAAAATTACATGCATGCAGGTGCGGCGCGGCGCGCTGAGTCTGCCCGCGTGTTCACGATCATCAACAAGTGCAAGGCGGTGATCTGGCCGGCGGTGGCACCTGGCGAGAGCTTCGGCGGCGGCGGGTTCGCGCTCCGTCCGGGGCAGTCGATGATGTTCACGGCGCCGGTGGGGTGGTCGGGCCGCATCTGGGGCCGCACGGACTGCAACTTCGACGCGGGCGGGAACGGGTCTTGCGCCACGGGCTCCTGCGGCAGCGCGCTCAAGTGCGGGTCGTCGGGCGCGACGCCGGCCAGTCTGGCCGAGTTCACGCTGGCGTCCGTGGACTACTACGACGTGAGCCTTGTGGACGGCTTCAACCTGCCCATGGTGATTACGCCGGTGAACAGGCAGGGCAACTGCAGCGCGGCGGGGTGCGACGGGGACCTGCGGCTGAGCTGCCCGTCGGAGCTGGCCGTGAAGGCCAACGGGCGGACGGTGGCGTGCCGGAGCGCCTGCGACGTGTTCGACACCGACCAGTACTGCTGCCGCGGGCTGTTCGGGAACCCGGCCACGTGCCAGCCCACCTTCTACTCCAAGAAGTTCAAGGCCGCCTGCCCCACCGCCTACAGCTACGCCTACGACGATCCCACCAGCATCTTCACCTGCTCAGACGCCGACTACGTCATCACATTCTGCTCCAACAGGTATATATACTCCTATATTATAGGTTCAATCTTGCTTGCTGCAAATTAATCCCCATCTCCATGCCAACTAAACTTATGTATGTGCTCTGCTGCATGTAACGCCTGCATGCTGTTCTCATCTGAACATGCAGTGTTGCTGAACCTTGTCCTTGCACCGACCTCTGAAATTGCAAACGCACCTTCCTTACACTGCCAAGGAATCTGATTCCAACTTGACGCAATCGTCATGTGCATTTGCGTAGCGACGACATGGAATCGTAGCAATCATATATAGTACTACTATCTAGAGATGCCACAGCAAAACAATGCAAAGCTCCCTTCTGCACTGTTTTTATATATCTGAAACTGTTGTCTGATGTTCTGCTTGCTTTTGTAAATTTTTTGATCGACGCTACGATTAAAGTTGATTAGAAATTGGTTATGATAACAAGCGGCATTATAGTTTGTTGCCTGCATTCTGATGATGTTATCACTTATCACAACCTGTGTTTGCCGGTTTTTGCTCCCAATTAGTCCCAAGTAGTAGTATGATTAACTGATAAATCCCGTTGTTGCATTGATTATTTCTGTTTTTCAGGAAGCAATCAATGTGCTCGTACCACAACAACCAGCTTGTCTGCAGTGACTCGAGCAGATCTTTGGCGATCAGCGTGTCCAGGCTTATGCTCGTGCTGCTCCTCAGCTTTTTGGCTTTGCAGTTTTCAGTGTAAGCTAGCTAGGAGGATCGACGATCGAGCAAGGAGCAGCTAGTATATTATTGCTGCTAACTGTTTTTTCTTCTCTTGCATTGTCCTCCTCGCTCGCTCCTCTGATCTGGTTCTGACTTTCTGATCGATCGAGGAACAAAAGTGCAGACAGGTGATTTTATTTGTTTGTCCAATACGTACAGCGGGCACTCTCTCTGAAACTGATGAGATGAGACACACACACATGTGTGTGAACATATATTACTATATATTAGTGTCGGATACCATAAAAAGAGTACCCTAAGCGAGAATCAAAAAAATTGCTTAGCCCTTGTAAATATCAAAGCCAAGAAACAACAACGAGGCCTCCATTTTGCAGCACGCCTCAATTTGCAGTTTGAGACCGTCGAACTTATCTTCTAGGAGACGCACCAACTTGTAGTACGCCTCCATTTTGGGGTCATGGTAGTTTGACTCCTTCATCACTTGATCGATGACGAGCTGCGAATCGCCCCGTACGTCGAGACGCCGCACTCCAAGTTCGATGGCGATCTGCAAGCCATTGACGAGGGCTTTCGTACTCGGCTGCGTTGTTGGAGGCGGCGAAGTGGAGCCGGATCATGTAGCGCATGTGCACTCCGAGGGGTGAGATGAAGAGCAGACCCGCGCCTGCCCTGGTCTTCATCAGGGACCCGTCAAAGTACATGGTCCAGCATTCCACCTGGATTTGAGCAGGTGGCAGTTGGGTATCGGTCCACTCCGCCACAAAATCGGCCAAGACCTAGGATTTAATTGCTTTCTGTGGCACGAAAGACAGGGCTTCCCCCATGAGTTTCACGGCCCACTTGGCTATCCTACCCGAGGCCTCCCGATTATGGATTATCTCTCCCAGAGGGAAAGACGACACCACGGTCACCGGGTGGGACTCGAAGTAGTGACGCAGCTTGCGTCGAGCCAAGACTATGGCGTAGATCAGCTTCTGGATGTGGGGGTAGCGTGTCTTAGTCTCAGAGAGCACCTCGCTAATGAAGTAAACTGGTCGTTGGACGGGTAGAGCATGCCCCTCTTCCTGCCTCTCAACTACTACGGCCGCACTGACCACTTGGGTTGTTGCGGCGACGTAGAGTAAGAGAGCCTCGCCCTTGGTCGGTGGTACCAGGACGGGAGGGTTGGTGAGCAGTGCCTTGAGCTTGGTGAGGGCTTCTTCGGCCTCGGGGGTCCAAGAAAAGCGTTCGGATTTTCTCAAGAGGCGGTACAGAGGCAAGCCTTTTTCGCCAAGGCGCGAGATGAAGCGGCTCAGGGCCGCAAGGCATCCCATAACCCTCTGCACTCCCTTGAGGTCTCGAATTGGTCCCATGTTGGTCATGGCCGAGACCTTCTCTAGGTTGGCCTCGATGCCGCGTTCCGAGACTATGAATCGGGAACCCCGAAGACACACTTCTCGGGGTTGAGCTTGATGTCCTTCTCTCTGAGGCATCTGAAGGCGATCTCCAGGTCATCGATGAGATCACTGGTCTTTCTGGACTTGACCACGATGTCGCCACGTAGGGCTCGACAGTTTGCCCGATGTGCTCGCCGAAGACCTGGGTCATGCACCGCTGGTATGTGGCCCCTGCGTTTCTGAGACCGAATGGCATAGTCACATAGCAGTACATGCCGAATGGGGTGATGAAAGAAGTCGCGAGCTGGTCGGACTCTTTCATCTTGATTTGATGGTAACCGGAATACACATCAAGGAAAGATAGGGTCTCGCATCCTGCAGTGGAGTCAACGATTTGGTCGATTCGAGGCAATGAAAATGGAACCTTTGGACATGCTTTATTTAAACCGGTGTAGTCCACACACATCCTCCACTTTCCATTTTCTTCTTAATTAATACAGGATTAGCTAACCACTCTGGATGGGACACTTCCTTGATGAATCCGGCCACCAAAAGCTTATGCACCTCCTCGCCGATGGCCCTGCGCTTCTCCTCGTCGAATCGGCGCAGGCGCTACTTCACCGGTCTGGAGCCGGCCCGAATGTCCAAGGCGTGCTCGGCGACCTCCCTCGGTATGCCCAGCATGTCTGAGGGACTCCATGCGAATATATCGGCATTCGCGCGGAGAAAGTCGACGAGCACGGCTTCCTATTTGCTGTCGAGGGTGGCGCTGACCCTCAGCATTCGGCCGTTGGAGCAGTTGGGGTCGACCGGGACGAGCTTGACGGCCTCTATGGGCTCGAAAGTCCCGGCACGACGCTTGGAGTCGGGCACTTCGCTACCGAGTTGGTCGAGGTTGACGATGAGGGCCTCGGCCTCCACGATAGCCTCGGCGTACTCGATGCATTCGACATCGCAGTCGTATGCATGCTCGTACGTGGACTCGACAGTGATGACGCCGTTGGGGCCCGGCATCTTGAGCTTGAGGTAGGTGTAGTTCGGGACCGCCATGAACTTGGCGTAGCACGGGCGCCCCAGGATGGCGTGATAGGTCCCCTTGAACCCAACCACCTCGAAGGTGAGGATCTCCTTGCGGTAGTTGGAGGGTGTGCCGAAGCAGACGGGTAAGTCGATGCGCCCGAGGGGTCGCGTGCGCTTCCCCGGCACGACGCCGTGGAAGGGTGTGGCACCGCCTCGGAGCCGTGACTGGTCGAGCTCCAGGAGTTCTAGGGTGTTGGCGTAGAGGATGTTGAGGCCGCTGCCTCCGTCCATCAGTACCTTGGTAAGCCGGGTGTTGCCGATGATCGGGTCGACGACAAGCGGGTACTGCCCAGGGTTTGGGACATAATTGGGGTGGTCTTCCCGATCGAAGGTGATCGCCTCCCGAGACCAGTCGAGATACTAGGGAGTGGCTACCTCAACCGAGAAGACCTCCCAGCGTTCCCTCTTCCACTGACGCGCCGTGAGGCACGCTGAAGGCCCGCCGAAGATCATGAAGGCATTGTGCACCTCGGGGAACCCATCGTCCTTGTCATTGTCTCCGTCGACGGCACCCTTCTTCTTGGCATCGTCGTTGGGGAGCCCAAGCTTGGCGTAATAACGTCGGAGCATGGTGCACTCTTCGAGGGTATGCTTCACCGGGCCCTGGTGGTAAGGGCATGGCTTCTTAAGCATGTCGTCGAAGAGCCCGGGGCCTCTGGCGGGGCCTCGGGGATTCTTGCGATCTATGGCCGCGACTAGACCGGCCTCGAGGACCTCCTGCTTCCCCTGGCGACCCCTTTTCTTTTTCTTGGGGAGGTGGGGGCCGAGGCCCCGGGGGCCTCGTCCTTCCGCTTCCCCTTGGCGTCGCCGTCGGGGAAGATGGCTCTGACAGCCTCTTCGCCCGAGGCGAAGTTGGTGGCGATGTTGAGGAGCGCGACCGCCGTGGTCGGTACGTTCCGGCCTAACTCTCGGACCAGGTCTCGGCAAGAAGTGCCAGAGAGGAAAGCCTGGACAATTTCCGAGTCGCCGACGCTGGGTAACTCGGTGCACTGCTTGGAGAAGCATCGGATGAAGTCTCGGAGAGACTTGTCCGGCTTTTGGCGACAACTCTTGAGGTCCTAGGAGTTCCCGGGGCGCACATATGTGCCCTGGAAATTCCCGACGAAGACCTTGACCAAGTCGCGCCAGTTGTGAATCTACGAGGGAGGGAGGTGTTCGAGCCAGGCTCGCGCTGAGTCTGACAGGAACAACGGGAGGTTGCGGAGATGAGTAGGTCATCGTCCACATCGCCTTGCTGACAAGCCAGGCGGTAATCGGCCAGCCAAAGCTCGGGGTTGGTCTCGCCGCTGTACTTTGTGAGGTTGGCCGGTTGCCGAAACCAAACCAGGAAGTGAGCGCCGCGGATGGCCTTGCTAAAGACTCGAGGGCCAGGCGGCCCAGGAGAAGGGCTACGGTCCTCCCCACTGTTGTAGCGACCGCCTCGGTGCGGGTGGTAGCCTCGAGCTGGCCCATCATTGTCGTGGCGCCGTCGCCTGCTGACCACATCGTGGTCGCCTTGCGCCTCACGTCGGTAGCCGAGGCGGTCGTGCACTGAGGGGGCCCTGTTGGCTGTGGGCGCCCGAGCGGGATCGGGACGAACCGAGGCCTCTCTATCCCGCCGAGGCGATGCCGCAGGTAGTTCCGAGGCACCCCCGCGCCGTCAAGAGGCGGAACTTTCGGCCTGTTGTACCGCGGCAGTTTCGAGGAGATCCCGGAGCTCACCGCGGACCCGTCGCCCCTCTGTGGTAGAGGGCTCGGGCATCGTTCGGACTAGCATCGCTACTGCCACGACGTTCTGGCTAGCGCGATTGAAGATTGGGGTTGCTCACTCCCTTCGTCGTCGTTGATGCGGTAGTGGACGTCGTGAGCCCTCCGCCGGGCTCCTCCGCCATCACCACGACCTCGCTGCTCCTGCTCGAGAGTGTCTCGGAGCTGCTGTAGAAGGAATCGGTCTTGTTCGACCTTGGCCTGAAGCTCACGAAGCTGCTCCAGGTCAAGGCGTCGAAGTTCCTCGGGGGCGGGGTTCTCGTTCTGCGCTGCCCGGGGCTCGACGAGTGGAGGCATGGCGTCGCCTGCCCCTTGGCGGAGCGAGGAGTGGTTGCCTACCCCTTCACTCTCATTGCTCACCCTCGACATCCCGAGCCCGATGTGGAAGCACTCTCGAGTGGGATCATAAGTGCCTTCGTCGTCGGAGTCAGAGTAGCCGAAACAGTAGTCGCTCGCGGCCAAGAAGCGGCGCATAGCCTCAGGGTTGCGAAGCCCGGAGAAGTCCGCTCCGGCCCACGCCTCATCCTCCTCCGAGGAGTCAGCGTGGGTGTGGGTCGAGGTTGTGGCGAAGAGGTCGAGGGCGAAACGTTGATGGCGTCCTGAGGGCTCCGCGTGAGCAGAAGTGTAGGCAGAAGCGAATGCGGCGGCGGCGTTGCTCAACCCGAAGGGGTACGGGGATGGTGCCATCGCCGGGCTCCGCTCCGCCGGAGTTGACTCCTCAGGAGGTGGCGGGGCGGAGCTCGATGATGGGGCGTTGCTGCACGTTACCGGCGTCTTTCCCCTGCCCAGGCTTAAGCTAGACAGGTCCCCAACCAGG